TACTAGAAACTGACCAAAATAAATGGATTTATTCAGAAAATGTATTACTGTTATAACTTCTATCCTTGTTATGACACCTGAGAGATGACACGTAGCCTTTTTGTCATAATCTGTTCCCTGGAGTTAATCTCATGACTAACTTCATCTTCAGATTGCATTGACATGTACACTGTTCATACATGTATGTATGTTCTTTGTTTTAACAAACTGTTTTGCAAGACATAATAAAGGTAAACTCTTTTATATTCAGTGGGAAGATGACTGGCTTTCCAATAAACCTTACATCTAGTGTTACACACCCTCATTTACTTACATGAGTAAACAGTCCTTGTGTAAATAGACCTGTTCTATGATGAGCCATGTACTCCTAGCCAAAACAGAAGAATTGGGAATCTCATGTGTGTTCTTCTAGGTTACTTCCAGAACAAAGATGTGATCGGGTAGGGAATGTTCTCAAGAGTCTAACATAATGTCTTAGAAGAACCCAAAAACTTTAGTAGTTAAAGGACTGTTAAATAGCATTGACAAAAGCACAAGAATGTAGACTTGTTCATCTTTTTAAAAAGGTGTGATTTTTTTTTTTCTTCTTTCCCCCCCATGTAATGAAATGAAGGAGGCTTTTTGTGCTAAGCATTTTCCTGTAGTATTTGCACCCCAATTACTGCAGCACTTCAGTGTAAATAAGTGTTTACAAAATGCCTTTCATCAGAGAACTGAAAAGCATTTTAATGAACACAACAGCGTGTGATGTAGAGGAGTGTTATCAACATTTCACACAAGGAAATGGATAGAGGTTATGTGACGTTCTCAAGATCACACAAGATATCGGTAATGGAACCGGGAAAACATGATGCATGATAATCAAAAGAAAAAAACATCCCTGACTTGTTTCACTGCCTGAGTGCAGCACAAAAGTAATATTCTAACATATATGGAAAGCAAAATAGGCTTCCTGCTGTAAATAACAGAGGATGATGATGATAACAGATCATTTAAAAAACACCACATTCCAACAATGTCCCTTTAATTGATTAAACACTACCTCAGAACTGTGCCAACATCAGCTATCTTTCTTCTGTTTTTCCAAGTAAATAATTAACAATGGGACTCATGGGTGATAAGTGATTATTGTGAGGTATACTGTAACTTTAATGGACAAAATAAACAGAAGAGATGTCTGAGCAAACAATCTGTTCCTGTAGGCTTCCCCTGAGTTACTTATATGAACTGAAAGCACCCGTGTCACAAAGTTTATATATCATTTCCATTTCAAATGGTCTATGTGCCATCGCTAGTCCTCTGTGGCCAAGTCTACATGTGCAGTTTACTGCACATTAGACTAATCTAACGTGTGCAGTAAAACATCACCATCTACATGTGCACAGCAATTACTAAGACAGATACAAGTACCAGAAAACAGCACTTTAAACTAGTGCACCGAAGCACACATGTAGACACTGACCTGGGAGCAAATTGCTTCTGGTCAGCCTAGGCAGCAGGGAGCTGCAACGGCTGCTTGGCTTAACCCTGAGCTCCAGGGGCTGGAGGAGGAGCTGTCCCCAGCTCTGGGGACAGCTCTGAGCTGCATGAAGCTCGAAGCTAACCCCTGAGCTCCAGGGGGCAGGGAAGAGCCGTTCTCAGCTCCAGGGGCGGCTCCGAGCCTCTCAGAGCTTGGAGTTAGCCCTGAGCTCTGAGGGGCAGGCAGGGAGCTGTCTAGGGCTCTGGGGGGAGCTCTGAGTCATGCTGACGTGGCTCAGAGCTGCCTACAGAGCCAGGGACAGCTCCCTCCCATCCCTTGGAGCCCAGGCCTGATCCTCCCCAACCCTGCCCATGCCCACTGCCAGCCCAAAGTTGGACCCCAAGTTCTCCCTGGCTGCTGCAGGGGGCAGAGCAGGGCAGGAGCAGCCCTGGACTGCACTGCTCCTGCTAGGCTCAATTTACTTTCAACCTGGGCACATGTGTAGACATGTGTCTGGATATAGTTTATTGCACCTGAATCTACTGTGCAGGAAATTCAGACTCATTAATTGCACATACAGATGCACCCTGTGAGGAGGTAAATTTCATGAAATTATCCTCATTGACATTGGCAGGGGTGTTTGGGGGATTTTTGGGTTTTTTTGGCCATGACTGGAATAGCTTGGGAATTCATTGCCTGAAGAAATTAAATGACTGTGCTCCTTTAATTCTGTGAAATCAGTGCTAAAACTACTTGTGGCTTTAAATCTTGGGTGCATGGGGGGAGGAGAGAGTGTTGCATCAACATATGAACACAACAGCATATGATGTAGAGGGACATTATTAACATTTTCACAAGGAAATTGATACAGGTTACATGACTTTCCCAAGATCACACAAGAAATCTGTAATAGAACCAGGAAAAATGATGTATGATAATCAGAAGAATATCAAAAGGAGAGTGTTGCATTAATAGTCACTGCAAAGAGGATCTAAAAGCAAGATTCCCTTGTGCAATCATTCTCAAATGGCTGTGCAACCGCAAGAGTTTGTGCAACCCCAGATGGTGGCCAAAATTGACATGCTCTCATAAGCTGGTGCCCATCATTTGCAATACTGTTCATCCTGAACAGGTTATACATTAACAGGAGTTAATAAGCAGATTCTTTCCAGTGCTTCCTAATCAAAAACCTCAAACTCCCAGCAAACCAAAAGCCTCTATATTCAGTTCTGTGAAAGAAGTGACTGGAGTGGGCTTGTTACCGATGCTTGCTAAAGTTGTTTTAATGATTTATTCAACAAACGTTAAAAATTTTAGCAACGCTTGCTTTCCCAGTTTTGAGAATCATCAAGTATGGGAAAACTGACAATTCAGTTGTTAAATCCCTTCCTTCCCCCCAACCTTCCCATTTAGAGAAATCACTGGAAAACTGTCAGATTTTTTGGAAGCATTTGCAAAACATGAGGAAAATCATGCAATATAGCATAATCATGTTATACAAGATTATTACTCTAAAAGGCTAACTATTTTAGTTATATTGTGTTATTGTGCCATTAGCACCACTTGACTGCCAACAGCGCACCAGTGGGGCTGCAATCAACAAGGATCTTTGTGTATTTTCCATTGTAAATAGTATTGAGGACAGGAGGGAGAGGCCCTTAATGGTACAATTTTTTCAGTGATTAAGAATACTTGAGATCCATTTCGGGGATCAGAAATGTGTCTTAATGAGACAATTAGTCAAGACACAAAGGCTGCATAGCAATTTAGTTGGGCTACTACTGGCACAATTTACTGCTGCTGTGTCCCTCCTCCTGATTTGACTTTTACAATAGACTGTGAAAGTCACTGTGGAGAGGATCTAAAAGCAAGATTTCCTTGTGTAATCATTCTCAAATGGCTCTTATTATCTATGGGGCACTTCAAAAATGAAGTTGACTTCAAAATAATTACTTTGTTTTCAAATCTTTTTTTCAAAAGTTAAATATCCATGCTAAATACCTATTTCAATAGGCACAGAATATCCAGGGACTCATAGATACCATGGCAATTAAGTAATACTTTTGAGGATTTGAACCCCTTACTCCAAAACAATAAAGTGGCACTTCTTTTTTTCCTTTTGTAATGGAACAGGAGATCTCCTACATGCTGCAAAAAACCACTCAAAAACAGGGTTTAAGGTCTTACAAGTTCTAAATCCATCAAACTCTTAGTCAGATTTGATTACTTTTGGTCTTGCTCTAGAAGGAACTAGTGCATCAGCTTCTGCTACTAGCACATCATTTCTTTGGATGATGTTACTGCAATCCCTTTTGAGTTGGAGAAATCTATGGAGTCTCTTAATGTGCAATGCCGCCTTTACCTTTTTATCTCTGGTAAATTTATCACAGCTCTTTTCTATCCCAGAATCCTTTCATTCCCCAAATCCCATTCTGTCAAAGGAGGCTTAACTTCCACTAATGTCGATGAGACCTGTGATCAACTTACCAGCAATAGTTACCCGTGTGGCATCAGTGACTGGTTGGATGCACAAAGAATGAAGAACCAGATTCTCAGGATGGTGCTATACAGATGCTTTTTTGTGAAGCCAACCACTACTAAGTTTTAGCTGAAAATATGGTTCTTAAGGATTTGCTTAGTAAACAATGATGGGGTTTCTGCAGATCCTTATAAGTTTTCCTCACACTATACCATATGCATTTTTATGCATACCATAGTACAGCAAAAGATCATATCAACTCTGAATTTAGTACAATATTTCAAAATTTCTTTACTTGTATGTAGTCTGATGCATTCTTTGGCATTTCCATCTTTGTCTACTGTATATAGTAGAACATTTTAAGCCCACTGATAAATGGGGCCCACTCTGGCAGAATCTTTGGGAATCTATACACATGCTCCAAGGTGGGGGAAGGTGCTTTAATTAGAGTGGCTCCAAGAGCTGCTTTGAAAGCAGGGTGGAGGGGTGAGGGGCTTTAATTAGAGCGGCTCTGCAGTGTCTCATGTATTCAGCATCTTGCGCTTCAAAATGGCAGTAGAGGTGCTTGAACTAAAGCTTGTTCAATGATTTCATAGACATTAGGGCTGGAAGGGACCTCGGAAGATCAAGTCCAGCCTCCTGCCCCAGGGGCAGGAAGTCAGCAGGGATCATAGGATCCCAGCAAGATAAACATCCATATGTCTCTTGAAGGCATTCAAAAACATCTGGATGTTTACCTTGCTGGGATCCTATGATTTCTAGTTAAAGTGAGCTTTAGTTACAGTGCCCCCGCCGCCATTTTGAAGCACAAGAATGCTGTATAGATGTGACATGAAGGCTGCTGGAGTGTGTTAATTAGCACGCTCCAGTAAACTTGATTCTGTTCTGACACATGCTAATTAGCATGCATCAGAGCAGACATCCAGCACATATATAGGTGTCCTCCATGACTAAGTACAGACAGTCAAAAAACCCAAGACTGAATTGATTCAATCCTCACAGTTTAGTCTAAGCTGTGTAGATTGAACCAATTAGCAAGTTAACAGACATTCACTTTTGATTCTGGAAATGCAGCCACTTGCCTGCAGTGACCCAGGCCAGAAGCTTGTGGGGGGAGGGGGCAGTTAGACCATGCCTTTCTGCTCAACTGGAGCAGACAGCTTGGGCCAAGGCTAGCCTGCCTATTCCTGTGAAGAGGGGTTTGCTAGGAAGGTACAAAGCATGCTGGCATACTGGGGGACTGCAAGTTAACTTGAATCTGGAGGGAATCTGGGACAGAAATTCAATAAACCAATTTAACCTAAATTGGTTAAGTCTGATACTACATCCATCCAGGTTTATCTTAAACTAGTTTCAGCTATTTTGAAAGCAGTTCATGTGCACTGAACTTCTGTTGTTACAGATTTAAACCAGTTTCCTATCACTTATACCAGTTTGTGTAATTTCTGTCCATAGCCTATATGCCTAAACTCTACCGAGTCCAATAGATGTTCCAGGCGTGCTTGTGGGATCTGGCTTCCATTCTGTAAAGGATTATTTTGTGGTTAAACAATTAGTTGAATCAGGCTAAGAGGTACAGTGCAGAATCTGCTGACCAGAAGACATGGGTAGGTAGTTTAAAGGCACCACTGTGCCCTCCTGATTCTGGGCTGCTCCAGGAGATGCAATGACTCCCAGTGAAACTTAGCCAGCTTTCTGTGCTGCTATTGCTTTAACCTTGCATGTCTGCTAGAGGGTCCTCTAAAGACAGCTTGCATGTACGTTCCATATGTCCTATGCTGGGGGAACTCTATAGGGCTTTTATATTGTTCCTAGCAAGTGCAGTTCAGATGGGAGGACAAAAATGTAAGACTAGGGCTCAGATTTTCATAGTGATCATTGTTAAGTACAGAACATCTGTCATTTGTGTCACTATTAATAGCTTTTTGTATATATAACTTTGTACAGATACTAGTGGGTTTCTACTGTGCTTCTTCTGAGTTTAAATAAAAAAGTCTCAAAATTATAGAAAGCAAAAGTGCTGTCTTTATTGTTCCTTCAGAAGATTGAAAAAAAAGTTCCTGCTTCTCACAATTTAGTGACTGGTATGTTTAGTTTGTACCACTTATTGAAGAATAGGTTATTCAGAGCCTCTGGCATCCTTGAGTTATTAGTAAGGGACCATAGTAGGGCATAGTGGTGGTATTTTGACAGTGTTTCATGATTTTGCTTCAGATCCACACTGTAAGTCAATGTAGTTTGGTCATTTGTAATTAAGACCTCTCCCTGCAGACCAAAGTTGGTTGGAGGTATTGAGAGTTATAGGATTTTTCTCTAGCTCTATAACAGCCAGCCTTTGTCTCGCCATAGCCATGTTCTTAGAAACTGCAGTTGTACTACCTACTAATACCTAAGGATGTCTAATATCATGTACATTTTGTTGAAATGGTTGCACTGTGATACAAATGCTGATCCAAGGAGTTCTATTCCAGAGGAAGGAAATACGCTTGGTTTGTTTCTGACGAACTAAACAACCTTTCAAGAATACCAGCATCCTGGCAAAGAACTACTGGCAAACAGCTGTATTAACCTGAGCCAAAAATTGTAAAGTGAAGTTGAGGTTGAAAACATGTATTGAAATTAACAAAAATTAGAGAATCAGAAAATCTGAGTTACCAATGAACTATTGTCCCACAAACTTCAGAAATAGATTAATATTCAGTTATGGTCATCTAAGCAACCTTAACCTGAGTTTATAATAATGTTATTCTCCCATCTTCCTTCCCTACATTGGTGTCTAATAACCCAAGAAAAACTGATAGACCATTGAATCTTAATGGTAGGTACAAAATTAAAAGTATATTTTTCTCTACAAAATGTTTCTAGCTATTAAAAAGGGTGGAGCTGATACAACCTCTGTATGTTTGAGTAAGGAACTCCAAATTTGTGGTCAGTGATTAAATTAATCTGTTTGTTATGGGTGGCCAATGATAGTGAAAAGATTCTGGTTTTCATAGGGCAGCATTAAGGGCCAGATTTATCATTCTGATGTCTTAAAAATAAATCCAGCCTATTAACTGCATGACAGTGTAGTTAAATTTAGCCTTAATTCTAAATTGGTCTTAATTTAGGATGCGGGTTTTCATGTTTTCTGTAAAACAACATATATTAGCCATCTAAGATTTATAGAAAAGAAGCTAGAATACTTTTTTGATGTAAATAAATGTATTAGAAACTTGTGGGAATCATTAAAATTAAGTAAGTATATAGTTCTGTAAGAAGATAGTATTCTTGTTTCACACATGGCAATATTCAATGCAGTTATGTAGAAACCTGCTACGAGGTATGAAAATGTATAGAACTACCTGCAGTCTGACATCTGATACCTTGTAAAATTATTATAATTAGTCTATATAATCCAGGGACAGAGAGGAAATGTGCCTGATAATCAATAGGCATTCAACACTGCTACTCTGGCTTCTTCACAAAGTGGATCCAACTTGCCATCACCTCCTAAAGGAAAAAAATAACATTTATAAAATATTTGTAGAATTCTACTCCTAGTTTCATATCATATTCTGTTAAATTCTCCCATCCAACCTAGTTTAAATCTACCTCTTGTGAGTCCCTAAAAATGTGGCCATACTAAGAAACCAAAATAAACCTGGATTTAACGGAAGAATTAATATTTTCCGTCAATTTTGTCCAAAAAATAAGCAGGACTGATCTTGTTTAACTGCATAATCTGAGACTGAGAACTACTTGCACTGAAGAATGTCACAAAATACAGAAATATTACAGGAAGTGCATGCTGCAAGCTATCGGTGATTCATTAGCTAGAAGGCACTCCTCCTGAGGAGACGGTATTTAATCAATGCCCAAAATGGAATTAGAGAGTACTGAAAGTGACATCTTTTCAGATTAAAAAAAAAAGTGGAAGTCCTTGCCATAGGTAGTTATTAACAATGTCCATTGTGTTACTACACTGAGACAGGGATGGCTAGAAAATGGAAATTACTGTAAAACATTCATGTTTTGGAGGTGAGGGGAGTGGAATTCATTCTGAACTGGGACAAAGTTAAAAAGAAAAAAAATACAAATTGTTTGTTGGAAAGAACTTCCAGAAGAACTCTACTTTTGGGAGAAATGAAATGGAATCTTTTTGCTTCCTGGCTGCCCAGCCCAAAAGCACCTTGTTGGTTTCAGTTTTATCTCTGCAGGGAGAAAGTGTGAATGACATGTGTCTTTCATGGGCTACAGGATGCTGAGTGAGGGGCTCCACTTCCCACTTTGTTGTCTACCCTACTCCAGCCTCACTGGTGGTTTAGCAGTTGTATATTCTGGAAGCAAAGAGCTGGGGCACTGGACTTCCCTGCCTCTCTCCTTCCTCACCCATCTTGGCTGCAAAGTAGATGGGAAAGCTGAGCACTCCAGTTCTCTGCTTCTCCTCCTGCCCTGCAGTCTCTGAGTAGAGCTGAGGAGGCTGAAAATAAAATGAATTCCCATGTTCTGGCCAAACTCTAACACAGGTTACTGGATCCAGTTATAGTATTCTGCAGCTTCACTTGGAACATTCTGCTATGCTTCCTGTTTTAAATTGCTGCAGATTTTTGAAACTCCTTTGTCCCAACCTAAATGTGACTTCATTAAATCTATAATGAAATGTCTTTATGTATAATTGTACCACCTTCCTATTATTTTAAGGGAGCTACTGTATCTAAGAAAATATGTTATACTTCCCACTCCTGTAGTATCTGGGTGCCTCACAATCTTTACAATACCTCTGTGCAGTAGCTAAGTACTGTTATCCTTATTTAAGACCCTAGGCACAGAGAGAGACTAAGACTTAGAACCAAAAGGTGTTGTTGCATTGGTTTCAATGGAAATTGGGCACCTAAATAAATTTTGAATGTAAACCTAAGTGATTTGCTCAATATTGCAAAGGGAGGAAACTTAACCCAAATTTCCCAAGCAGTACCCTAACCAATGGACAATCTTTTCTCTTATGTGCACTTTATGATGGCTTATGTATAAAGAACTGAAGAACTGATAGGCATTAATGTTAATATTAATTAAAGTGACAATTTAGAAGACAGAACTTTTGACATTTAATTTCAGAATGAAGTAATATCTAATGAAGGGTACAGCAAAGAAAGTCTGGTACCTACCGAAGTCGAGGTCTTTAATATTGCACTGGAACACAGTTTCGCCATTCACTACGAGTTCTACAACATTCCAGTCTGGCATCTCTTCTAGGATAACCTGATGTCCATCTGCTTCCAGCACAGCTACAAAAGACCAGAAAAGCAGCCTTCCTTTGGTATTTCTAAATTTAACTGCTCATGATGACAAGCATGAAAAAAATATGTGCAATGCAGGAAAGCATTGTACAAAATTCCTTACAAGTTGTGGTTGTAATTTGTAGTTTCATGATTACTACATTAGTGGGTCACCTTTGAATGAACTACTCCACCCTTCCTCTGTTCAAATCTCATTTTAAAAGGCAAGACATTTGCTATGCACTTAAATATGCTACTGGCTGGTATAGTAGTCATAAGGAGCACACTGAATTAATTTTTCACTCTAGTATCTACAAACAATTTTGTCTCTGTCCACAGGCTGGATCCAGCTGGTGGTCCTAATCCAGTGCTCAGGGAAGGAGCAGTGGCTGGATAGAGCCGGCTAGGAGGAGAGGGGGCAGCTCAGCCCTGCAGGGGAAAAGAGGGCATGGTCCAATGGGTGGGGGTGTGGACCAGCCCCATGGGGTGGGCCCTCTTGATGTGTGGCAATTTGGCAGGGGAAGGGTTGCCATACTAATTGCTACTATTCCTCCACCTCCAAATTTCCTGACCTGGTGGAAGCCCTGTGAGTTGGATTCCAAGACCCCATGGGCTACATTTGGCTGGTGGGCAGGAGGCTGAGCACCCCTGGTCTATTTGGTTTCCCACAATAGAGTATCCTGGTGTGCTAATGCACATTACACAGTACTGTCTTAACCAGCCGTCCTTCAGTCTTGCTGAATTTAAGTAATACAATTCAAACAACATGATGGATTGGTTTGGATTTTCATGTATTTTGTAAGTTGCCTTTTTTTCATCTTATTCTGGATCTGTTTCTTGGCAGTGGAAATGCACTATGATAAGAGCCTAGCATCAGTTGCTTATCAACTAAAAAAAATGAAAGCTAATTTCTAACAACTTTGTTCAGTGAAGGCCTTGCCGAGGGAGTGCAGACCTATAGTAAACCTCTAAAAGAACATATTTAATCAATGTGAATTGGGTCTTTTCCTTGTCTGTGCTCTAGTCACTCTTCGTTTCAGGAAAAGTGGACAGAAGTGCCACCTTCTCATCTCTAATTCCATTAATTGCTCTGTGTTTAATTTGGGTAGCATAACTGGAGCTGACTGTGCCCACCATGATTGCAGCACTGTAACTTAATGGCTCAAGATGCTGCAGGAGAGGACTCTGGCCCAGGGGATCCTGGCTCCTTGCTGGGCAGCAGCTGCTTGGAAACCATTTGGGGAAAGGGGCGCTGAGCCACTGTCAGCAGCTTGGAGACGCATGGGTTGACAGGACCGCAGACCGAAGTACTCCCCTCCTCTGGGAATTATGACAAATTCTTGGGCCGCGTTGCTAGTTTTTGGGTCTGTTCTTTTACTGTGGGTCCGGGCCTTTCCTTAAAGGGCTCTTCCCCACCTCTTCTTCCCCTCTTCGTTTGGACACAGTCCGCGTGCCCTCGCCCGGGGTCGGCTCTGCCCAGGCCTGCGGGCAGGAGGGGCCGCCGGCATGCCCCGCAGGGGCCAAGAG